CCCAAAAATACCATCCACCTTCGGGATGTCATTAACCGTCACAGTATTGGTTCTCCTTGTAGCGTATGTCTTTATTCAAGGCGAGCGCTGCTCATAAAGTAAAACCTGCTTGTCTAGGAATACCACTGCCAAAGAGTCTACCGTCATTCTTCTAAGAAAGTGCATTTTCCAGCTCATTCCCTTTGATGACCACCGATTCCCTCTGGCCGGCACCAGTAACGACTCCACCCGTCATCGTCACGAAAGAGAGAAATTTAGTAGATCGTCCTCGTCAAGTAACACGAGGGGAAGAACTTCTTCCGCTCAGGAAAAGTCTGGCCATTGCGTTGGCAGCAGTGATATTTTTTGTGGTTTCGAGAAATCCATACAGCACTCGCCCTGATTCAACTGTCATCCCAAAATGGCCAGACGTTTCCGGCGTCTCTAATGTTCAATCGCTGATGTAGCTAGCTCCGAACGAAAAATTTCATTTGCGCCTTCTTGCCTAAGAACTGGGACTTGGGAAGGATTGTAATTGGCGGAACTCTTCGGCGTTGGCACCTCTGTGGATGCTCTTTCCAGCTTCGGCGGCTTCGTCCATGGCTGCTCTTCTGTCTTCTCGCTTTCCGATCTTCCTTTACCGCTTCTCTGCGTAACTTCCCAAGTTCGGACGTTTGTTGATAATTGACGAGCCGGTTGTATTCTTCATCGAAGTTGTCGATAACGGAACTTCCCACATACTCGCCAATGAAGTGATCTCAGTTGTTAGGTTAGCAGTCTTGAGGTTTCGTTTCCTGAACTTCGCAGCTCTCTCTCTCCAAGCACTGAGAAGCAGAATCTAGCGCGGTTGAGGCGGTGAGCCGACCCTAGAACTTCGAAAACAGCGACGTCAGTCCGACAAACTCTTCGCTTAAAGCTGATGTGGTATATTTCATTATGGAACTGCTTACTAGGTGGCTCCCATGCCCATCGCGAATGATAATTCTTCTAGAACTAAGAATCACCATGGTGTAGGTCGACATGATAAACTCGGACAACCTTTCACCTCGCTCATTACATTCAACTCCGTGAGTCTCAATGTAGAGCTCTTCAGCCGTTCTTCTCTCTCCGAAGAGCCTCTCCGGATCCATGTAAAATATTTCCAACCTCTTCTTCGTAACTTGATGTTGGTGCGTAGGCAACAAAGATTGTTAGAGCTAGGATTGAGCCACATCTTCTTAATCTCAAACGTCCGATTCGGGTTGTTAAAGGCCCAGTTCACGATAAAAATGGTTTCTGAGTCCTCCCCCTCAGATACTCAGTGGCCCCTAAGGGTAACAGGAAGGCCCTCTCGTGCCCAAAAACATGAAGGTTAGGGCATAGTGGAAGCCCTGTTCCCGGCTCGCGCGGCCTTCGCGCCCCTCGATCGATGTCACTTCAGACGAGTGTCGAGGCGAGACAGATTGCCAATTTTCTCGCTAGTACTCACACACATTGAGCTTATCACCTAGTAATAAGGCAATGTTTCTCTCTGTTCCTTCATTCACTGTTATTCTTTTTGCTGCTGTGATCCCTTATTCAATTTTCTACCACAAAAGGCTCAAGAAGGTGAGCTACTTTTGCTGTTGCTAGGGGTTTTTTTTGTTAACTTGTGCTTGTGAGTGGATGAATTTCTGCTTACCTTAGTCAGCTATTCGCACCCGGACCCACACAGTGAGACACATTGTATAGCTCGTCCGAACGCCCCACTCTCACTCATTTACCTGGTCTCATTTTTCTTATCCAGCCCCCTTTTTAATAGTTTTTCGGGGCCTTTTTTCATTTTGGAAACACCGATTCACGCAGTTTCTTCGTCTTCATCGCCCTATTTTCCATATTATCTTACATTTTTGATTTGTATTACCCAAAATTATCGTGAGCTAAGCTTTTGAGCTTTCGTACGAATCGATGTTCATGGCCAAGTGTGGGCGTATTGGCGAGCACACCTACCCGCTGACGCCACTACTGTCGCATGTTCCATGTTTATATGTTCCAATCACTCGCGAAAGCGTTGGGGAGAAGCGCTGTTCCAATGGCGGGCATGTGTACCAAAGAGGGTGGGCGTTAGGGAGATGTTGATGACTGCGATGTTTGGAGAGGCCGTCAGAAATGATAGGGGTGGGGTGAACCCCGACGTTTTTTTCAGGTTTGGCTACTTTGGACAAATATTGTTTGGTGCAGTCAAATGGCTTTTTGTTAGTATCTGCTCATAAGGCGCTCTACAACAATAACTGACATAATTTCAGAATTCCGCTACCATGTAGTAACGGAATTCTGAAAGTTTGGCGTCAAGTGGAGACCTAAATGTTGGTATGTCTCATAACATTAATGAATTTGAAAGCCACATTCTATTTAATGATCCATTTTTGAATTTTTTGAAAACGTATCCAGACTTCAACAGCAGTATTAATGAACAAGAAGAGGCAACAATGAACGAGTAATGCTTCTTGATAGAAAAGTTCAAATTTAATATGATCATTTATTTCTTATGTGATATCGTTGAGAAAGTATAGACCACCTCCTGGAAGTAGGGTTGTTCGGGATCGAAGCGAATACTGGGAAAATTGTCCTGAAACGCTAAACATAGGTAATTGGAATGGTTAAGCGAAGTGAAGCGTGATGAAATCTAAGCCACTAGTGAGTTCCAAACGGGGAGATCGTCAACCCACCCCGGACACCGATGCAGCCAGTCTCTGTTTCAAAAAAAATCTTAAGCTCATTACTTGGGCTTCGAAGACTGCTGAATTTTCGATACACCGTTTCAGAAAGTGAAATCCGGCCCAAATATTTTTTACTCTAGAAGAAACATTTATTGTTTGATGTGGCAATTTTTCAGCCACAGCATTTGTTTCCCTATCCGTAACGGAATCTTCCCATGACCCTATTAAGCAGCACCTACAAGGAACATTGTTTCGAAGAAGCTTTTTGAAAAATATTCCGTTCGGAAACCCACATAATTGAGAGAGCCGGTATGAAATTGAGGTTCGATGGCCAGAGCTTTTCCTGATTGATAGTGTTCTCCTCCTTTGCCCTCAACAGAATGAAGATGACGAGAACCATAAAGATGGATCACTGGATATGATGTTGATGCTCCCATTTTAATGCCAGATGTAGGAGAGTATAGCCTGAAAATAAGGAATTGGAAAGCGCGATGATATAGTTCTGTGTGAGTTCTCCATAGCCGTGATTTGTACAAATCCTAATAAGGAGAACTGTTCGGTGAATGAAAAAATGAAGCAGCAGGTGTGCTCCTACACAAGACTGACTTCGCAAAACGTATCCCATTGTTGACGTTTGTGTTCTTGGCTCCTTTGTTACGGAAACACTAGACCCACTCGACGTTTCCTCTCGAAAATGAAAATAACAAACGTAGGTGCATGAAGTACATACGTCAAAGCATGCCCTGGCGATCGATCAGCTGATAGGACAAGGTCATGGTCAATATCGATGTTGCTCCTGTCATCCACGAGACTCTCCAGAGACTTCTCTTCAGTAAAGTCAAACCGACACCCTTTGACATCAAGAACTTCGCCTAAAACACTATTATCAGGAGAATTTTCTGGATATTTAGATAATACCAAGCAACGACCTACGGAAAGACCTGTACCTCCCCCCGTGAGAATGTTCAACACGCTCAAATGTTATTATGAATAGGATCATCGAAGGAGGCAACCCATAAGCCAAGCTCGTTCTAGCTCGTTACTAAGCCATTTAGTTGTGCAGCTCCCTATTATTTAGCAGACTGAAACAACCACCTGTAGGGAAGTCATCTTCGTCAGTAGGGAGGAAGGCATCTGCATCCACTTGCAAGCGATGATCTCGCACCGATGCCTGAATTCAAAAATTAGGTCACATTGACGGAAAGGAACCTTTGCTAGTGTATATTGTTCCGCGTTTTTGTGCAGCGGTAACTCAAAGCAAGTTGAGGGAGCTCTAACCCAACTGAATTGTTCCCAGTTTGTTTCCCAATGCTCGGTCTGCCCTTCCGATTCAATTTGCACTGGTTTCCATCAAACGTTGTAGGTGTTTGCTACCAAGACTCTTCAGAATCGTTGCGACTTTGAATGCCGAATAAGCGGTGTAACGCCCTCTCACACGAACCTTCTTCGCTACCTCAGTTCTGCTTTCTGAAAGTGACCGTAATCTCGCGCATTTGGAAAAGTAGCTCCAAAAGCAACGAAAACCGGAAGTGGAAAGGTGGTACTTCTCCGCTAATTCTCACGACAAACGGTAGGGTTCCGCGGCGGCTACCGTATACCTTCACTTGAAGTCTATATTTATTTCAAGCGCGGGAGTTGGGGCAAGCGCGACGCGATTTTTGGAGTAGATCCGGTATGGAACAGTAAATCTTTATTTGACCGTCATCATCTCATAAAAATCCGCTGTGCTAAGAAAAGATGGAAACGCACGCTGCCGTCCAGATTCCAGTACGAGTGATTGGTGAGGTTGAGCACTCCCGGTGCTGTGCATGTTGCACCGTGTTCTATGAGGAGCTGATTTCTATCGTTCACTGTATACGTGATCTGAAAACTGATCGCATTACTACATAGGACAAGGCAGAGTCGGACCTCAACACAATCCAACCATTAAGATAGATCAACGAGAGTACGGACGTCTATTTTTGCGTCTCCGGGGAACCCGTCGTTGGCTTCATCGGCCCATATTCGAAAGGTGACTGAGGTGGGTGTTTGGCGCACAACCTCCCATTCTTTCTGAAAATTGTACTCGATTATTTATTACATGTCAAGGAAACATAAAGACATAAAAGTCGGACATTACAGCAACTAAATTTTAGTCGTTGCAACCTTACAAACGAGGTATTTCGTGTTTCATAGAGGTCTTCTATGATAATCTCCTATTCGGACGAAAATGAGCTTGAACGGACTGCGATATCTCGATTATAGAACAGTTGTCTTCAAATTTTGACCTCTAGTCGACATTAAGTGTTTATACTAATTAATGACCACGATTTAATGGAAGTAAGATATCTATCAGATTGTCAGGCTCGGGCGTTCAGAAGGGGAAGAGAGCTTGTGAGGTGGAAGCAGCAGGTGGAAGTTGAAAAATTCCAAGTCAAAAAAGAAGCAAGTAATCAAAAGTGACTTAAACGATACAGCAGTAGAGAAGAATCCGAAAATTTAGTGGAAGTGCGAATCCCGATGGAGTACAAAAATAGCTGTGATACTCAACGCCTATGAACGATCCAACAAAAAGGTCATGACCAAAAGAGAGAAAAGAAGTGTGAACTTGTTCTGTTGCCTCCCACTTGCTCGCATGGGACAATTGGAGCTTCTAAGTGGTCAGCTTTGAAGAATATGAAACAACATCTAGTAAACTGTTTTGCACAATGTAAAATTACTGGTAAAGCGTGACATACCAAAGCAATTCCTTGAGGTCCGCCGTGTATAAGATGAGGATGGTCATTGATTGGAAGCTGGTACTCTCTGCCGTCAAAGGTGAACTGTCCGAATCGGATTCGGTTGCAGACACGACCGACTGTTCGACCCATGTAGGCATTATCCGCTTTGTACCCTAAAAGTTGATAATCAGAAGGATGCAATTCTATATGAACATAGAAGACTTGACGGGGTCCCTGATGTAGTCGGTTGTCCTTGCCAACGAGAAAACATTACACTTTCTGATGCTGAATCAAAAAAGAAAACAAAGTGCTCAATTTTTTCCATATCCTGAGTAAAAAAGTTCGAATAGCATTATAGGAGCAGTCGGTTACTGAATGGCCTCCTTAGAGTGTAATTGCTTCACATCATGAGGTTTGGTACAACAAAAACCAATCAGAACCAATGCACTAAGTGTGTCCATTGTGTCGTGTGTGCGTATGTATGTATGTGTGTATGTGTGTATGTGCGTGTGTGTGTCCAGAAATTCGTAACTCCTGTTTCCTCAGACGTAGGGCGTTCAGGCGACGGCATGGAAGCACTTCTGGCAGGCCGCAGAGCTAACGCTCGGAGCGTGCGCTAGATGAGGTTAATCGGAGTAAAACTGCCTTGATGAAATAGGTGAGGAATAAACCAAAAAACCTAGTCACACATGAATTCAGCAGGATTTCGCTTATGACGAAGTCGAGATGTGTCGTCGTGCGTGTGAACATGTATGTGTGAATGTGTGTATGGCCGGAAATTCATACCTCTTGTTTTTCTGTATCAGTGCATTCGAAATCGACTNCCTGGTTGGGCACCGTATACCGTAGAGCGACCTAAAGGCTTGTTTTCCCTTTCATGTTGAGCTATTCAAATCGCATTTCTACGAAATCTTATGTACAACGCCCCTCACTTTGAAGCTAAAGTAACAGCTCAGACAATTAAGCTAATTCGTATTCCTGTAAAGGATGGACTCCAGAACAGCTGTCCGAACCATTGATTTACACATGTTAACCCTTGTGTATTGATGTCTTCGGGATCACCGTTCTGATCAACTTATTTACTATCTAGTCCCGCACGATCAGAACTTTTGGCACTCTCAGTACTCCTATATAAGTATTAGTTTTGTCACTTTGTTTTACGAGGATTGTACTTATACAACTTCTTGCCACTGAAGCAGCGCCCTACCCCTATCTTATTGTACCGGCACGTCCAATAATTTGAGAGTTTAACTTCTAGCTCGACTGCCAGCTGCACTCACACACACCGGAACACCCGAGGCTCCATTACATTCTAGGGGGATTCTTAGGATTCGATGATTCTCTGATACATGGAAGGGTCTCCAATTCGATATCCTAGTGAGTTTGGAATGTTCTTCACAATGATGGAAAGCCAAACTGCAAAATGAGTTCCCCAAATAACAAAAAAGAGGTCAGCGTTCGCTTCAATGCAGTACCGGTTTGGAATTCTTGTAACCCTGTACCTTGATCGTGGATATTGTGTAGTTGTAGTAGTTTTGTTCTTGCTCGTCAAGAGCCCGGATATTAACTTGTCGTTGTGCAAAATCAGCCCTTCTGCTAGGGTTACATCACTCATGCAACTTACGGTTGCTTTTATTTCTGATTCCACATAGACTTGTGAAGCGAATGCGCACTGCTCAGCAATGCACACTTCGATATGGCNGAGAACTCAAAAGCGTTATGCTTCATTGAAGAAGATAAGTACTCTAAGAAAAACCTTTGATATTGTCGTATCCGAGCACCACGTCCACATCATTTCCATCTCTATCCTTTACGAAAAGGGACGTCAACGTCGCTCCCAAAGGTATAAATTGAGCAGTAACTCCTTGAGTGGATGAGATTTCGATGAGCGAGTTCATCTCATACGCACTCAATGCTTCGAGTAGATTGTAGGCCTGGATCAAGAAAAATTCTTTAGATACATGGATTGCAGATCTCGTATAAGCTCATATAGAAAGCGGTGAGTCTTAATCAGAGAAGGACGATAAGATATAGGTGGACACGGAAGAAATAAAGAGACCACCCTTCTTGCCAAACTCAGATTCTCGCAAGTAAATTCTTCTTATGAACATAAGCAAAAAAAGGAAAAGAACAAAAATTCTTTGTGAATTAATCTTCATATACTAAAAGTGAGTGATTCTTTCGCTTCAAAACACACGAAACCTTTTGTTTTTCACCTATTCCTGAAGTTCATCAGTGAATAGAGGTAGGTGAAAAACAACCAGATATAAAAAGGTGGTAAATCAACTTAATAGTTGGATTAAAAAATAGTACTGTAATTCATTTTAACATTAAAGAAATTGGATTGACTGTAAAAGAAAGAATGACTATTTAGAGAAATGGTCAGAAGAATAGAAAGCTACAAACCAAGAATCGAATTTAGAGAAGTATGAGGTTAAGTATCATCAAAGGAAACTATACAAATTTGATCCAAAAAGAAAAAAGTAAAATGGTGGCTGGAAGAGTGAATAAGAGAAAGGATTGATCTGTTATCATGTGAGTAAATTAAGTCCAAGTAGAAAAAGGAAAATAGTAAACAAATCAAATTTGTATAGCGCTATTTTCATGTTCCTGCAGAATTCTTACTTGTTCGTTGAGCCACTAAAGTTGGTTTAAAATACATAAAAAATACAGAACTCTGCTCAGAAACAAATGCCTGGAAGCTTGTGGATTTCTACTCTTGACAAGGTACAAAAAGTAGTTGATAAGGACTGAAATTTCGCATTTCATGGGTAATATAAGATCTTCTGAGAACTCCCTAGAACCGTGATCTGCGTTGAAAAAGATTCCTTCAAGAAGAAGGAGATGATACTGCAGAGAAATTTCTCTTCGAAACTGAGAAACAACTGCAACACCACAGTGCGCCTTATATTCTTCGTCGTCATAGTGCCATATGCCCCCAAGCAGCTTTGAACTCTACAGTTACCATTCCTCTTTCAGTCTTTAAACAAGCTCTCTCCAATTCTTTCTCTCCCACTTCGCCAAACACGCTCAATGTGCTCATTATTTCCTACATGAACGGGAAGTAGCAGAAAGAGTTTGATGAGCTTCGCAGACTTATAGGTGACATATGTACCTATACTTTGCAACCATCATTAAGATAACCACCATTAGGATGGTCTGCAGACCAATGAGCGATACGCATATTATACCACTTGCAGGGAAGATATGATTATTGGCTAGTTCTCTTCTTGAACAGAGCTTTCGGTGCCATCCTTCTTCAAATTAGGCCATTAGAAGTGGTCCATTGACCGCCTCCGTAAGGACAAGGACTCGATGTTTAAATTATATTAAATAACGTGCTCCAGTTATCACCAGAGACAGCCTTCCACTGCTCCGGGGTCGCTTAATTGGTGCCACACCTGTTTGGGAAAACAGAAGCACTAGCTTGTGCATCGGCTGGCCCTCGCAAGTCATTGTATAGGCCACATACGCATTCAATACGCCACTACGATTTTGAATGGAAGTCGAAGGCGCGGTTGCATCTCTCAGAAGGGAACGATTATGTCCTAAGACTTTATCCCTCCGTATCCATTCTGAGCATTCTCGATATGGATATTAAAAGGAATCAGTCAGCTCCCCTTGAAAGCTTGTTGACCAGTCTTTCGAGGGTAACGGAACTTCTCCCCTATCGCGGCATTCTCCCTTGCGGCATGCGGCGAATGTCACTGCAATTACCGTACTCACCCCGCCTCCCGAAAATCGATAGGACGCGATATTTTTTCTTGACTGGCTTGCTTTTTCATTGGATTTTATCGTTTTTTCTTCTGTTTCTTTTTAGTTTTCATGTTTATTAGACTTGATTAATTAAAATGACTCCTCTTATATAAACGACGATCAATACCGCATTGAAATTGAAGGGAGCGACCAGCCAATTCAAATAATTAAAGGACTCCCTACATTACAATTTGCGCGCACCAATCTTTCATCGGAATCCTGCGATAGGCGGCGGGTGCGGCGTGTGCGACGCCGTGTTAGGGGAGAAGTTCCCGGACCCGTCTTTCGACGCAAACCTGTAGTGGTTTGTAGATACAGTTTACGGCNCAGTCAGCTCCCCTTGAAAGCTTGTTGACCAGTCTTTCGAGGGTAACGGAACTTCTCCCCTATCGCGGCATTCTCCCTTGCGGCATGCGGCGAATGTCACTGCAATTACCGTACTCACCCCGCCTCCCGAAAATCGATAGGACGCGATATTTTTTCTTGACTGGCTTGCTTTTTCATTGGATTTTATCGTTTTTTCTTCTGTTTCTTTTTAGTTTTCATGTTTATTAGACTTGATTAATTAAAATGACTCCTCTTATATAAACGACGATCAATACCGCATTGAAATTGAAGGGAGCGACCAGCCAATTCAAATAATTAAAGGACTCCCTACATTACAATTTGCGCGCACCAATCTTTCATCGGCAATCCTGCGATAGGCGGCCGGGTGCGGCGTGTGCGACGCCGTGTTAGGGGAGAAGTTCCCGGACCCGTCTTTCGACGCAAACCTGTAGTGGTTTGTAGATACAGTTTACGGCAAAAATGGTTTCTGAGATTGCTCTAAGGATGAACCTGTGACACCTGAGGATAGCACATGGGACACTGTTGGACCAAAAAGCGACCCAGGCAGGGCGTAACGAAAATTCCAAAGCCGGTTTGGCCGACGTACATCTCTAAGGGTGAAAATGTTCTAACGACTTTGTTATAGGCACAGCTATCGATAATTTTGTGTAATCCAGATTATGACGAAAAATGGAAGATAAGATGGGAAATATTGCAATGAAGGCGAACAAACCGCGTCAATCGGTGTTTCCAAAGTGGAAAAGGCTTCGAAAAATTTAAAAAGGGGCTGGAAGAGAAAGAGACCAGAAAAAATGACGAAGAACGGGGCGTTTGGACGAGCTATACAATGTGTGTCATCGCGTACGTGAGGGGCCTGGTGCGAATAGCTGACTACGGTAAGCAAAAAGTCATCCACTCATAAGAATAAGCTTACACAAGAGCCCTGGTAACAGCAAAAATAGCCCTCTTTTTCCAGCCTTTTAGGGTAGGAAATGAAATTGGCGATCGCAATAGGAAAAAGAATAACAGGGAATAAGAGAATAGGAGGAAAACATCCTCATTACTCTGCGATCAACTGATTTTGTGTGTGTCTTAGAGCGAATATTGTAATCTGCATCGCCTCGACACTCCTCTAACACATCGTCGGTTGCGGGGCGGGGCATCCGGGCGATGCGGTAACGGGGCTCCCACTATGCCTTAGCAGTTGAGTTTTGGGACTCGGCAGCGTCCTTCCCGCTACCTTTGGGAGCCACTGGATATTCCTAGAGGGAGAACTCAGAAGCCATTTTTATCGTGAACTGGGCCTTCAAAGATGCACGTTTCGCAATGAAGCGTTAGGGCGCTGATGTGGGAGGCAGCCAGACCGTTACAGTCACACCATATCGTACAACCACCTTTTTATGTTACTTTTTTCAAACTTCGTAATTTCTGAAACCCCTGACAAAAAATTCCTGAAGAGACAATTCAGCTACGATGAGTTCTTTCAAGAGTAGATAATCTCCTGTCTAGAAAACGCAGTGAGGAATCTAAAATTCGTGTGAGAAGCGAGCTCCCGTTTTTCTTTTATAAGTCAATGCAAGGCTGCGTTTTCAAATTCGGATACACTCAGCTCATCAAAATCAAACTCTAATGGTGATACTTCAAAGCCTGGAAAGGGTTCATTCTGGTTTAGCATTCACGTCCCCCATATCCTTAACTAATCATGCTGTGAGACCGCAGAGTCTGCTGTTCGATTCCCCTGGACGAATACTATTCAATGATACACAGACTGCCCCTCTATGAAAATTTTGATTTGTTTCCTTCTCCAAAGTTCTACCAGCGTACACTAAACGTAATCTGTGATCGGCATAAAGTACGAGGCGATAGGTACACAAAAGATGTTCGTCACTGCACTGACGGCGATCAACAGCAGAAATTGTGTCTAGTTCATTTGTCTGTAGGTCTAGCACGCGCTAAGCAGTCAATTCCCCCACATTTCCGCCCTGGACCAATCGTCGATCACATGGGAGGCCAGACAGTGAAGAATATAAGACTGTGAATGCAAGCAAAATGAACTTTTAATTGAGGAATGATCTATGTACTATTTGATAGAATTTGTCTCAGAGAATCAAATTACTGCATTGCACAAGCGCGATTCGGTTTAGTAAGGAAATAAAAGGTGATTAGTTATTCAGTGAAAGCCACGTCCTTTTATTGAGGGCTACACAAGAAATGAAACTTTCATGTATAATCAAGCGTTAGAGCTTTGTAGGCTAAATTCAATGGTATATCCAATTGAGAAAAAAAAAACTCTGAAATAATTACGACAGTAAGGCGGCGGCAAAACCTAAACTACCTTTCGCATGGATTTCGAATTCCTTACAACGACACCTGCACAGGGAAAGGGAACCATTTCTATAATGAAGAGAAACTGATGCGTAATGAACAGGAAAGATGGAAACAATGAACCCATGACTTGACCATCAACCACGAGTTTCCAAGGGCTATCACTGAAAGGAAAGGTAAGGTGCATAGGGCACACTAATTAGGTCGACGTGGTCGAGTGGTAATGATTTAGCACCTTCTTTGCCTGTTACCCATATCAATAACTGGGGTTCCTATACCAAAACGCTCCGCCTTTTTGACAGCACATCTGATGGTTCAGCCAAAGGATTTCAGCTGCCGCTACATAGAGCGCGAGAGCGAAACCAGCTAATATTGAAATGAGGTCCCATTCCATGTTGGAACAAAACCAAGAGCATTCAACCCTATGTGAGTGTTTCAAGAAAAAAAAATCGTAGTATCATTGAACATGGGAACATAAACAGATGCGTAA